TTCCAAATTTGATCCAAGAGCCTCTCGGTGCATTTTTCTGGGATATCCCCATGGTCAAAAAGGATATCGCGTTTTCGATCTTAGTCAACAAAAGGTCCTTGTTTCTCGTGATGTGAGTTTCTTTGAAAATAACTTTCCTTTCTTACTTCCTCCCTACTCCGCTGCGTCTACTGATCCGCCCAATTTACACACTTTTTCCTCCTCTCATCCTGGACCCTCCTCACATTTCGACATGGACCTGCCTTCCTCTCTTGATGGGCCACCTCTACCCACCGGCCCAACCGAGTCCCCTTTACTCGACCCACCCACGGATCTACCCTCATCTTCCCCTGTTTCTTCCCCCCCACACCCACATCTCCACTTTCTTCCTCCACACTTATCCCTTTGCCACTTTCACCCACTGCCGACCTACCTGCTCCGTCCCCCCCACCTCTCACCTCAGCTCCGCGCCGCGGCGGCCGCTCCACTCGGCCGCCTGCCTATTTGCAGGACTTTCAAATCGAGACTAGCCTCCCCTCAAGGACCGCACCATCGTCATCAACGAACTTGGTTGCTCGTTCAGGTACGGCTCACCCACTTTCTCATTCCTTGTCTTATGATCATCTTTCTCACACCCACAAAACATATCTTGCCACACTTACCCACCTCAAAGAACCTGCAAGTTTCTCTCAGGCCGTCCAACACCCACACTGGCGTGCCGCCATGAAAACTGAAATTGATGCCCTGCAGGCCAATAGGACTTGGAGCTTGGTGCCGTTGCCACCTCATAAACGGCCGATCGGCTGTAAGTGGGTGTATGAGGTGAAATTGAAGGCTGATGGTACTGTCGAACGCTACAAAGCCCGCTTAGTGGCAAAGGGATACAGTCAAGTTGAAGGGATTGATTACAGGGAAACCTTTGCTCCCGTTGCCAAACTGGTGACCGTCCGTGTCCTGCTCAGTGTGGCCTCTCTGCGTGGTTGGCATCTCCACCAATTGGATGTGAACAACGCGTTTTTAAATGGTGATCTTAATGAGAAGGTATTCATGTCTTTGCCTCCGGGTTTCGGACGAAAGAGGGAGCATAGGATCTGCAAATTGCACAAGTCGTTGTACGGTTTAAAACAGGCATCTAGGCAGTGGTTTATCAAGCTGTCTACTGCCCTCAAAGCTGCGGGATTCCAACAGTCACGATCCGACTACTCTCTGTTCGTCCGAAGTCGTCAAGGTACCCTCCTGGCATTACTCGTATATGTTGATGATGTCATATTGGCAGGGAACAATTTGGAGGACATAGAGAACACGAAATCTTTTTTAGCCAACCAATTCAAGCTTAAGGATTTGGGACGGCTGAAGTATTTCCTTGGCATCGAAGTTGCCAGGTCACAGCATGGAATCAGTTTGTCGCAACGTAAATATGCCTTGGAGATTTTGGATGATGCTGGATTCTTAGGGGTCAAACCTTCTCGGTTCCCTATGGAACAAAATTTGTCACTCACACAATCCAATGGAAGGTTATTAGATGATGCTTCGGCATACAGAAGAATGGTTGGAAGATTGATATATTTGACTATAACTAGGCCGGACCTGACTTACGCCGTGCATGTGCTAAGTCAGTTTATGGACAAACCACGGCAACCGCATTTGGAAGCAGCCTATAAAGTGCTTAAATATATTAAGCATACACCGGGTCAAGGTATTCTGCTCCCGTCTACAGGATCACTTCAATTGCGGGCATTCTGTGATGCAGATTGGGCACGTTGCAAAGACACAAGGAGATCAATCACGGGATACTGCATTTTACTTGGGCAAGCACCAGTTTCTTGGAAGACCAAGAAACAGACGACAGTATCGCGTTCAAGTGCAGAAGCCGAGTATCGTTCGATGGCTACCACTTGCTGCGAAATCACATGGTTGAAGAATATTTTGAAGGATTTGGGAGTTGATCACACACAGCCCGTGACCCTATTCTGTGACAATCAGGCGGCTATACACATAGCATCGAATCCGGTGTTTCATGAGAGAATCAAACACATAGAGATAGATTGCCACCTGGTTCGAGAGAAGATTCAACAAGATTCGAACAGCTCATATTCGAACTGAAAACCAGCCGGCTGATTTGTTCACCAAGCCATTAAGCTCGACACAGTGTGAAGTGCTCCTTAGCAAGTTGGGTGTTATAAACATACACTCCAACTTGAGGGGGAGTGTTGAAGGAGATCGAGCTAAGAATGGAATGTAGAATCTGTCAATATTGTAAATGACTTGTTTCCTTATTTGTAGTTGACTTAGCTTAATTGTAGGAACCATATTAGGATGTTTCTGTAACTATAAGTTGGTGACTCCACCTCTTGAGTAAATGATAATCAATAGAATATCAATTTCTTACATTCTTAGCTACGTTCATTCAATCGAATCTTCACAAATTAGTGTAATGGAAAAGCTAGTGTAATTGATGTAGCACGTTCAAATTGTCAAGTAGTTTACAGAGTAATCAAAGTTCATGTTTTTATAAAATGTCTAAATGACTAGTTCTTGACCACGATTGTCCATTATATTATTCATGCATGCTTGGAAGCAATACTGAGAGAGTCTTCTACTTATCAAGGAACCTTCATGTCAACCCTAGTGATGGAGCCAGATGATATTTGACGTGATTTTCCAATGATCTCTCAAACCTTAAGTATCTACAAATGCTTGGTTAACAATCCTTCCACCCTTGGATCAACTGGAGGCACGCACAGTGATGATGCTTCCTCGGAAGGATTTGATCATGGTGTTCGAATGATCGAGGAATCAAAGAATCAAAATAACGCAAAGGAATCATGGTTTTCACTTCAGAACCGCAAGAAAGGAGCACAGAGTCTGACTTCTCTCAGTTGTTTGCCAATTCAACCAGTTATTGGGTCCTTTTACACCAGACATTTTTCATCGTTGGATGCTTTCGTTGTTGTTTTAGCCAGAAGGTAAGACATGTCCACTTAATATGAGCAGTAGATCAGGTTTCCTTTGGCCCGTTAAATTTCAGAGGCCGCCTTACTTGTGGTGTGTATTTGCTGGTAGGTGACTGGATTGGGCTGTCTAAATCCTAATCTGTGTTTTTATGACATGTTAAAAGCCTTCTGGAGTTTTAACCACTCGGGCAACGCTCGAGCAGTCCTTGAGAGGCCTCGGTGGGGGTCCGAGTGCCACTTGAAGGGGCTTCGACAGGGCTCGAGCATTGCTCCGGATTATCTTGATGGGTTTTCGTCATATTGTTAAACGTCTTTTAGCAAGGGTCGTAATCGTGGAGCAATAATGATTTGACTTTCGGATACCTCGTCCCAGACTTCGATTTGATACTTGATGTGTTCGTTGGATCTTTTTGCAGATTAGTATCTAATTCCCAAAACTATAGTAGAAAATGGTGTACAGCCAATGTCTATAATCTTGAAACGTGCGTCATCCCTGTATCCTTTCCACAACCCTAATGCTGGTGGTCCGTTCTTGGACCACCATAAGCACTGATGAAAAGTCAATCAAGTCTTGTTAAAATTTTTACGATTGTTTTGGAATATTAATACAGTGATACTCTTGACGTATGTAACATTTAAGTCATCATGATATTGTGTTTGTATCTTAAGTCAGTCGCACAACAGTAAGAATTGAACTCTGAACAAGATTATAAAAGTTGCTTGAGTAATGAACTTATTTAACAAAAACTCATTCATTTGGGAGACCAAGTTTACAATTGTCGAATGTTTTTTTTTTTTTCCACAAACCAACAAAAACAATAATCTTCTTCTCAAGAACGCTAAATAACTTCCTATTGAAATGAGTTTTTATTCCTTTTATTTTCTTCAAAATGAAACTAATTAGTGATTTCATCATAATAATCTACTTTTTATAGACCGAAAAATTCACAGAACCTATTGAAATGAGTTTTTGGTCGATCAGGAATTGCAGCCAGCCGCCCTGCCGTTTACTGAGCTAATAATGCCAAATGCTTCAACATCACTTGCTGCGTTTGCGTTTGATGGGTTTGTCAATGTCAGCAGCAAATTTAGGGCTGGTTTGGTATTGCTGTGCTTTGAAAAAAAGCTGTTGTGAGAATAAGCGGCTGTGCTGTGAGAATAAGCGGCTGTGAAATAAAGCAGCAAAGTGTTTGGTAAACTTTTTTGTAAAAGTGCTTTTGGAAAAAAAAGTAGTATGATAGTGTTTGCTAAACTTTTATGTAAAACAGCTGTGACTGTGTGAAATGACCAAAAAGGGTATTAATTTTATTTTCTTAACAAATAAAAGTGAATTACTAAATATGTTTTATTTTTAGAAGAAAAATATTTATAAACTTTATCTTAAATATTAATTAGTATGACAAATTACTTCAATTGAAATATTTTAAACTCAATAGCTAGGATTCATTAGTAGAATATTGTTAATGTACTTGAAAGTAGTCTAATTAGATGCATTCATCAAACTTGTTGCTATTCTATTTCTTAATGCCTCTATCTCATGTGATCCTTCAACTTGTTGCAAACATCTACTTTAAATTTCAATAGACAACTCATTTTTAGCTCAACAACATAGATAGGTCTTTTGGCTGAAATGAAGAGTAAGCATAAAGCATTCGAAGCTGAGGGTTGGGCCCAGATCAATACGTTTTCTCAAATGCAAGATGATCTAATAAACAGAGCCTTTTGCTAGTGTGGGGTCTGGGAAGTGCCACATGAACAGTCTTACCATTTTGTGGAAAGGATACTTCCCATTTGGAACCCAGATTACAAGGGCAAATACCAAGTCCTAGATTCAATACCGAGTCCCAGATTACTATCTTTCTATGCTTACTTCTCGACCTACCACATCAACTCCACATAGACATCAGACTCGAAAAACTCAGTCAATGTTTTGATGTTACTCACAGGTTTTCAACTCTCAAACTCTTTTCCATGTACTCTTTTACTTCTTCATAGGTCATCACAATAGCATAATACCAAAGTGTAGCTCAATGCTGGCCAGTCTTGACTTTTTAGGCACCAATAAGGTCAACAGCCAAAGTATATTTAAAGGCGAATACCAGTAATTGCAAATTCATCACAATCCAGTCAACCAAGTATTTCCAATAATTCCTAGTCCCAGATCATCATTCCAAGAAACTAGTCCCAGATCATCATTCCAAGAAACCTGAACTTTGCTTAAAATCAAATCAACCCAAGTTCAAGATGTCTTTGCTAAAGCCTAAATGGTAAATGGAACAGGGTGAGATGAAAATTAAATTACTTGGCAGCCGCCCCATCTAGGCAGCAAGTCTATTCCAATGCATTAACTAACGTCTTATTAGTTATTCCAAGCTCTTAAATACAAGAGAGAAGGACAGAATTTGTTGCAAACAAACTCCTAATCACTAGGCAAACACATTTGCCAAACAAAATCCTAGCAACTGATGTCAGACCAAGTCCAAAAATAAACCAAATTATCCACACTTAGTCAAAGAAGAAGCAAAAAATAAAACTTTAACCATGCCACGAACACATCCACACTCCACATATAAAAACCATATTCACAAAACAGAATTCTCAGCTGAAGTGCATTACCATCACATCAAATTGCTCGGGCTACGAAATAATTTGCATACAGCAATTGTCCACAATGATTTCATTGTAATTAATACTTGGGTACTTTGTAGCAACCTCTCTGCAGGACTCCAAGAACAACCCATCAGCTAGCTTCATAATGTTGGCTTTGTGCACAGCAGTCACCTTCTTCCTGTTGTTCAAATAGGCATACTCGAAAGCGTACTTGGCAATTTGCTCCGAGCAGAACTTGGTGATCACTTAACACATTCACAATCAATTCCCAATTTTCACAAAACTGCAGAGCTAAAGATTGAATTTTGGGTTTTTGATTACCTTGAGGCTCTCAACGACGCCAGGGACGACCTCGTGCTCGAGCCAGGCGTATTTGCCCTCGGTGTTCTCTCGACAATGTCCACGTTCTCGTGGCGGGTGGGGAGGCTGGGTAGGTTGAAGCAGTTTACTAGCGAAGCGTACAGGTCGAGCTCTTTTCTCAGCTGCACGTTGAGCGAGCTCACGTCGCCGCCCATCGGAGTCTTCAGCCCGCCCTTCAAGCACACCTTGTTTTTCCAGATCGACTCGATCACCTCCGGCGGGACTTGCTTCATGTCGCCGTGGACATGAATTTTTTCCAAGAGAATTTTTCCCGGATCGACTCGTTTTTTCCACAAACCATATCACCTTCCCCAATTAATTTTTTCCCCACCCTCCATCCCCAATTGTTTTTCCCGACACCCATACCCTCATCCCTTTGCTCTTCCCACCCCTCTTTCCCTCTCAATCTCCCATCCCCAAATTGAAAAATCCAAACAAATAAATAACAAATTTTTACAAGAGAAGCTTACCAAATGAACCTGGAGAAACCTGGAGAATGAGAGAACTGGAGAAACCTGGAGAACGAGAGAACGAGAGAGTGTTTTCCTGGTTTAGGTATGCGAGAGCGTTGAAGGCGAGAGCTGAAGGAGGGCAATTTTGGGTTATTGAAAATTTCATTAAACGCACACTGTTCACCCGTGTTTTTGAAAATAAGCTGTTTTTGGAAGCTGCTATTTGCAGCTTCTGATCAGCTTCAGGTTTTAGGCTTTTTTTCATCACCAACTTTGAAATAAAGCTGTTTTTCAAAGTTTACCAAACACCAAAAATCTTCCTAGTTTTTTTTCATATCAGCTTTTTTTTTAATCACCTCAATCCCAAACTGCACCTTAGACTTTTCTGTGAAGTATGCCAAACAAGTTGAAAACAACATAGCCACTCTTAATTTATTAAAATTTCTCCCTCGCGCTTGGGAAGGAATATACAATTACTTGATTATCTATGCCTGCATAATCATATTAGACAAACCAAGTTTAATTAATTACTGAATTATTTGATGTTTCGGAAAATAGAAGATTATACGTTGCAGACGTGAGTTTAAGTTGGTTAAGATATTGTTTCCGTTTTTTACCCAACTTCGAATCATGCTCTTAATAATAAATAATATATCGTTATTATGGAGAGATTTTTCAATTATCGGAAATATAGCCTGATACACCAATAAAATAGAATTATACGTAATATTTTATCCGTACGTCTTTATTTCTTTATCGCTCACACCATCAAAGTTGTTTTGGATCTTCACACTTTTGGCTCTCTTTTCTTGGACCATGAATCAAGGACAGTTTGGCATTGACATATACTCATATGCCCTTTCCCCACGTGGGAATTAAAATACAAGATTCTGTTCCACCCGTAATCTAACGAATGATTAAAAATTTGAAACTGATTTTTTTTATGCATATTCATATCCCGTCCCGTCGGGATTAAGGATTTATAATCCGACTTTTCTCAGCATCATTCTCGCACGCCCCGCTGGACTCTGAAAGCCCAGACAAAGCGTGGACTCCAGAAAATGTCATTTGTTATGCATTCTTTGTCCAATCCAAGGGTCCTTGTCCGTTTTGACCCTTGCAATTAGTCCCGGACTATTTCGTCCCGAGCTAAATCCATCTGCTAACCACAACCACATATGTCAGTTCATCCTTTCTACTCTCCACTCAAATCCCGTAAATTAGATTAGTTTAGAATATTGCTCTTAAAAATCTTGGATCCCAATTCCATTTGGCGTTCAAAGGGAGGAACTTTGTAATCAAAATCACATAAAGTCGTAAAATTTATCATCTGGGATTCGATGGTTTCCGAAGGAGTGGAAGAATCGGGAGGCACGGAGGTGCCCCAGTCGAAATTCAGGTACAACTCGCCGTTTGTCCAAGTGAGTTTGATCGGATTGGTCTGTTTCTGCTGCCCTGGCATGTACAGCGCCCTCTCTGGCATGGGCGGCGGAGGCCAGGTCGACCCGACTGCCTCCAACAACGCCTCCACCGCCCTCTATGCCACCTTCGCCGTCTTCGGCATCCTCGGTGGCGGCATCTACAATATCCTCGGCCCCCGCCTCACTCTCCTCTCCGCCTGCCCCACCTACGTCCTCTACGCCGGCTCTTTCCTCTACTACAACCACCAGAAGCACCAGGCTTTCGCTATTGTCGCCGGTGTAATCCTCGGAATCGGCGCCGGCCTCCTCTGGGCCTGCCAAGGTTCCATCATGACGTCGTACCCTCCCCCGAATCGAAAGGGGACATACATCTCGATTTTCTGGAGCATTTTCAACATGGGTGGCGTCATCGGAGGACTGATTCCGTTTGTTCTTAATTACCACCGGAGCGAAGCGGCTTCCGTCAACGATGCAACTTACATTGGGATAATGATTTTCATGTCCATCGGGACTCTTTTATCCCTCGGTATCCTGCCCCCCAGCAAAATTGTCCGGGACGACGGGACTAAATGTACGGACATTCAGTACTCAGATGTTACGACTGAGGCCATTGAGATTGCCAAGCTGTTTACAAATTGGCAAATGCTTCTTATAATCCCGGCTGCTTGGTCGGGCAATTTTTTCTACACCTACCAGTTCAACAACGTCAATCAAATTATGTTCAATCTGAGGACTAGAGGATTGAACAATGTGTTCTACTGGGGAGCGCAAATGTTGGGGTCCGTCGGGATTGGATACGTTATGGATTTCAGCTTCAAGAGCAGGAGGATGAGGGGTTTCGCGGGCATTTCAGTGGTTGGTGTTCTCGGGACTACAATTTGGATTGGCGGACTTGTCAACCAGCTCAACTACTCTCGCAGTGATTTGCCTGAGAAGTTGGATTTTAAGGACTCCGGCTCTGCTTTCGCAGGACCCTTCGTGTTGTATTTTAGTTTTGGGCTGCTTGATGCCATGTTCCAGAGCATGATTTGCTGGGTCATTGGAGCCTTGGCTGATAACTCTGAAATTCTAAGCAGGTAACAGGATATTCCTTGCTTCTCAAGTTTTTAATTTCTCAATGATCTTCGTGCGTTTAGGCATTTTTTCGTGCGCAGGTGTGGACAATCCTATCCAATCCTGCGCACGAAATGTGGCCTTAGTTACAGTCACAGAACAAAGTGTGATGCTAAAAACTCATAATTTTGTGCATGTTTTGTACAGGTATGTTGGATTCTACAAGGGAATACAGAGTGCAGGGGCAGCAGTTGCTTGGCAAGTCGACACGCGCAAGGCATCCTTCCTCTCCCAATTGGTTACCAATTTCGCGCTCAACACCGTGAGTTATCCGCTGCTCGTGGTTCTGATCTTGCTGGCCGTGAAGGATGAAGGTAAGGCTGATGTGGAGGAATTTACCAAGGAGAAGGTTGCTGAGACTGTAGCCTCAGAGAAGTGATCATGATGATTTAATTAGCAGATCAAATTAGTCATAAGCCATCCGAATATTTGTTTTAATTGCACGTTCATACAATCGAATCTTCACAAATTAGTGTATCATGTTCAAATTGTCAAGTATTTTACTGAGTTATCAAAGTTCATGATTTGAAAAAATGTTGGAATGATTCGTTCCTGAGCACAGGCCTGCTTCTGTCATGCTTAGAAATTCAATGATCTCCAGTTTTCAAACGGGCACCTAAGGCTAAGGGAATGAATATTGGCGTAGGTCAGTTGCTCACTTGCACCTGAGTTTGAATCCGACTCTCCATAGAAAGGAAATGACGGTTGTAATTAACATTATCTGTGACAAATTTTATTCTTAAAACGTACATGATCAATATATAATTCTGGCATGTACATAAAAATTAAATAAAATACGGGATTTTCACTACTTTTGGAGTCCCAAAAATTCATCAGACACAAAGTGCGCCAATATCCATCGTCAACACTGTTGTTGCACCTCATGGCTTTAGGGTTCTTGTTTTTTGGGATACATTAAATAATGCATAGCCGGATTGGAAGCGCGTGCAATGCGATTAAACAGTGACAAGAGGTGTATCTTTAGCCTTGTCCTCTGAGGCAACAGGAGTTGCTACCTTTGCTACATCCTCCTCTGTGGCCTTTGGTTTGATATCCGCCACTGGCTTCTCTTCTTTCACCTTCGGTGCAGGCTCCTCCACCAGCTCTTTCTCCTTGGTCTCCTTCACAGCCTCAACGAGATTGATCTCCGCTAGTTGCTTGACAGCAACTTCCGCTTCCTCTTTTGGCTTCTTGGTTGCTACCACCTCAGCCTCTACCGCAACAGCAGGTGCGGCCGCAGCCTCAGCCTCCTCTTCCTTTGGCTTTGAGGGGTCTATCAATGGTGCTTCATTGGTGGTCTCCTCTTGTTTTGCAGCCTCGGTGGTAGTGGCAATGGTGCTAGTAGTAGTGGCCTCGCCCTCCTGAGGACCATCAGCCTTCTTGGGGTTGGTGGTCTCACTGGGGAGGGCCTCTGGGCGAGGGGTGTCGAACTCCTTTGGCTTGCTCGCACAGCCTCCCATGATTTGATTGGGTCGATGGGACGAGTGAGCGAGTCTCTGGAGTTGGACGCCGGGGTCCTGAATTAGGTATTTATCAAAGGAGAGGAGGGTGTTTGAGGCTGAGGGAAAATGTTTTAGGACAGAAAGGGTTCATATAGTGGAAGATGGGTCTTATGTTTAGGAGAAATCGTTGGTCATCAGCCTGGCAATTACCTGCAATTTGGGACCAACATTCTCTTCTGTATAAATATTCCATGACTTTTTCAAACCCGACAACTCTATTTCTCTGTCTCCTCCGATTTTCTTGCTGGGAAATTAGAGGATGGTGGTCTTCCAGTTCGTTAATACCGTTGGTCGTTTTCCAATTTTGTGCGGCTGCCCCCTTCACCAAGTGTCCCTTGTTCCAACATTTTAGATCAACGACGCCTCGAAAAACAAAACCAATTAACTACTAAACTGAAATTATTAAGAAAGTTACTTGAAATATATATATATATATATATATATATATATATATATATGATTGTTTGCTTGCGGACCAAGCTAATGGGATGGCTGAGTTGAGGGTGATCGAATGAGTTAAACTCGCGGACAATGTCTTCAAGTGTACTCATTTTAAACTTCATTCTAATCAGATGATATATATATATATATATATATATCTCGCGGTAACAAAAATGTCTTGGAACTCGTTCTAACGATGATAGCATCTCTAATAAAAATATGTAACATGTTTTGTCTTTAGCGGAAGAATGTATACTTGAGGATATAAATGTGTAAATTTGGTCTCATCATATTTTAAAAATATTTGTAAATATACATATGACCGTTTAATTAAAAGAATAAGAAATTTAAGAATTAGTTAAACGAATAATTGATCTCAGTGCTTAATTTAGTATTACAAATATAATCGTTTGATTAAAGGGATACACTTATCTAATTAGCTAACTTAGCTCGTACATAAACATAACATTAGCAATCCATAAGGCAGTGTGTCTTCTTCGTTTCTTGTTAATACAGAGACATATTTATACTAAAAAATAAAAATTTAGGTTAAGTCACACAATATGTCAATGTCAATCGTAATAATCAGTTATCGAACTTAAAATCTCTTAGACCATAATTCATTTGAGTTTTTGGAAAAGGAAAAAGGAAAAAAAAATGTATATTTGGTAAAAAGAAATGGCATACGCGCCAAAATCCTCTATCATTACACGTAAAAAGAAGCGGGGACAATGGCTATCCCAAAAATCCGGCCGACATTAGCGTTCAGTGTCCAAATCCATCATAAGCAAAACCGAAACCGTAGATGCACAAATCGAACTCAAAATTAGGAGGCACATTACGCGTCCGATCTTTGTTCCCTTCATTAAACACCGAAAAATTTGGGATCAAACTGGAAGTTAAGCTAACCATCTCCCTAATTATACCAGAAATGGAGGGGATATATTGAGTAAGTAGTCAAAAGGGAAGAACATTCCCATGGTAAACTCAGATTCGGGAACTTCATAATTAAACCGCAAAACCTAACCTGACCTGATTTGGAGAATCAAATCTCTCAAATTTGGGGAAGGTTCAGGGAGCAAGAAGAAGATCGACAAGGATTTTTGGGGAGCTGAGGTGAGATGATTTTCTGGGAAGAAAGGTTTGGCAAAGATCATTTTCTTTGCGAAATATAAAGGCGAGCTTGACTTCGCTTTTCTTTCGGAATTCATCTGCTTCACGAAAGAAAAGGAAAAAGCTCGCCTTTGCGGGGTAGATTGATCTAATGGATGCCCATTTCGCGAAATCGGTACCAGTCCCCCTCATCCTCCTAAGCCTCTTCCCAATCTTTGTCTTCTGTTCCTTTTCCACAGTTCAATCCGACCACGAATCATCAACGATCATTAATCTCCGATTGCCCTCAGATGCCACGTCCGCGGATCGATGCAGCGCACTACTGGAGTCACCCTTGTCCCGCCCCATGTGTCCGGTAAACTGCTTTAGACCTGACCCGGTGTGTGGGGTGGACGGGGTGACCTACTGGTGTGGGTGCCAAGAGGCACAGTGTGCCGGTGTCAAAGTGGCAAAATTAGGGTTTTGTGAAGTTGGCAGTGGGGGTTCTGCCGGCCCTCTCTCCGCTCAGGCGCTGCTTTTGGTTCACATTGTTTGGCTGATCGTCCTCGGCTTCTCAGTTCTTTTCGGGCTTTTCTGAGTCGACAAAGACGACCTAGTTGATGAGATGACGATTTGGCTGATTTCTTGGAGGTCAAGAAAAGCTTTAATCTTTTTAATCTTCTTGCAATGCAGAGACCGTATATTTCAATTGTGATCAGAAACACACAGACAGACAAAGGACATGAGGACATGCGTGTTGTGCAAGAAACTCTTGATCTTTTTGTATTTTAATTAATTTTTTCTTGATTAGGTTATCTTTGATATGGTAACGGCCTCTCTTACTAGAGATTCATTGATTTGTAGAGGAGGATACAAATACAAGTTTGTGCTTACATTTTGATCATTTGTATTTGTACATGCAAGAAAATCGAATTAACCGCTTTTTTTAAAAAAAATTAGCCAAGTTAGCTTGGATTTTCATATAAACATTCGTCCCTCCTTCGTTCAAATGAAAGTATGCTCATACTTTATGTGAAAAATGCAGATGAGAATTTACGTCTGCATGCATTAAGAAAAATATTATAAGCGATTTAGAAGCGGATTTAGCATTTACTAAGTATAATTATAGTAAAAATTCATTCAATCATTTCTCTCTTCAACCTGATCCCTCAAAGAGTGAATGGATGTTGTATCTGCCGAAAGCTTATCATCCTCTATTACTTCACCAGCATAGACAAAATTTACACAAGGCGAAGAAGCCTAGGAGGAGTTAAAAAATGCCACTATGGTAGCTATGTGATATCTGTAATCTGGTGCTCATTTGGTTATATGAATTAAACTCGACGTTAATTTCTACTGTATTAATTTTGGATCGGAAGAGCTGATTGATCGGAGTGGCATTTGAACACGGAATGTCACCATAGATGGAGTAGGACTTTAGTGCTCCATAGATGGAGTAGAACTTTGGTGCTCCAGGCCTTTGATCTTGTCAAGATAGTACTGCATTTTTTGAGTATCTTGAGCCGACAGATTAGATCCAACAAGCAGCTTGTGCTGTTCAAATTTTGATTCATCACACTTCAATGCAGTTTCTTTACAAGCTTTGATACTTCCTGATACAAAGAAAATGAAAGAAATCATTGGTATTTAACTTTCTTTAACAGATGGGAAAGAAGACAACTATGTTGTGTCTTTGTGATGACAGTAACTTCAGATTAGCTTAAAAAAACGAACACTACGAGATTAAATGTGACCTCTTAACCGAGCACAGTAACTGAATTCAAGAGTCAAATGAATAAGGTATTGTGCATTTTCGAAAAATATCAGCCAACCACAAGACTTGATCTGTTGTAATTCAACTCACCGCTTAGGTCCAACAAATTAAATAGAACCGGGCAATCTGCAATACTCCTGACCATGGTAATTGCAGCCCACACTTTCAGATATTCATCCCTTGAAGCTCTAATGATACACATTCTCGTAATGTCATTCGCATACTTGACTGCACAAAATTACACAGAGAAATTGAGAGAGGCCACTTTACGGAAAATTAACTACAAGAGCGCATACTACTTACCTTGGAATAATCCAAGTGACGAAGCCAGACCGCACTCCCCAAAATTTACCAGAATGCTGTCTCGGATAGCTTTCGTGACATTGTATGAGGTAATGATAACAGGATCTTTTCTCACCAGTTCTCTATTAGGATCCAAGATAACCTCCACTACCATATACCTGTTCTTAAATCCCACCATGATCCTTTACCTGCTTACAACAAAACCGCATCTGATATATGAAATCTAATAAGAATATTAGACAAAAATATCATACGAAAAGCTCAGTAGCTAACTTAAAACTGTATTTTCCAATCTCAAATTCAACAAACAAGTAACTTCACAGCGAAAATATGTTCAAGCAATTAACTTTATGATCGAATATGCATAATTTCAAAACAGAAACCTAAAAAAATTTAGAATTATCAAAACAGAAACTACTGGTTTTTTTTCTTTCCAGAATCCTGAAATTGCATAATTTCACAGAATAGTTGCTTCTTTGTGACCAAAAGGTCATGGTTCGAGCCGTTAAAACAGTCTTTTTTTCCAAAACAAGAACAAGGCTACGTACATTCCCCAACCACTCACAAAGCAGAGAACTTTATTGTCTTGGGATCGCTTTTTATTTTCAGAATTTAAATCATGATAATACATACACAGAAATCATATTAGTATACACATGAAACAACTATACCATGATTAACATCAATTGAAGTATCATACTTTTATCAATTTGATTAAAAATAAACATTGAGGGGAAAAAAACACAGTCAATGTCAAAGCCAATAATTTCCAATCCAATTCTTCAGAAAGGTGACGAATTTAAACAAAATTTAAATAATTTTACGCAGAAGAGATATAGGCAGACCTAAAATTCGAGTCTGAAACTGATATCCGAGCGCAGGGAGGAGCAAGGGTGGCGATTCCGAGACCGTAACCGTAGCAAACAGTGGAGATAGGGTGAGGAGCGAAGAGCAACGGAGCGAGCCGGGTTGAAAAATGGTTTTCGGGTCAAGATCCACTACCTAAACCCAAAAGAGAGATCCGCTGCGCGAGCAACCCGACTGTGCGTTACATGTGCTCTACAGGCCGCACTCCATCTTTCTTCCCAACGAGCCCATTTTTCTTTTTATTTGGAAGACGGGCGTTGCGTTCGGTTCGAAAGGCATGGCTTTCAATATGCATCCAGATAGGGCCCCATTAGTCCGGCTAGCTAGTAAGCGGTTCTTTCGGGCGAGAAGCGGGCCGGGCCCCACGGGCGGGCATCTCCCGCAACGCAAGCTGCATTGTTCGCCACCACCCGAGAAGCAAAAGATTCGAGGGCCCGAGGTCCCGAATTGTGAATTTGGGCCCGTGCGAGTTCGGAACAGCCCAGCGAGGAAGACGGGAAGAAATAGACGTGGCAAATGGCGGTTCGTGTAAAAAGTCATAGAGGGAGAAAGAGAGGGAGAGCGTTTGAGTCGTTACGAAGAAGAGAGAGACCGTTGGAGGCGGGACCGGGAACTCATGACACTCCGACCTCGAGCTTCACATTTTTTTTTAAATATATATATTTTTTGGATTATATTTTAAAAATTATTTTAAAATATCAAATACTTAGGTCTGATCAGGATCTCGTATTTTTTATTTTATGTCATATATTTACTAATTAATAAAACACTTATTGTCAACTAAAATTTTATGAAATTATCAATTTAACTCTCTAATTAAAAACAGAACATGAATAAGAAATATGAGCCAAAAATGTAATTTTACCCAACCAAATTTTGCTTTTTTTTCCAAAGCCTCACATACATGTAATTATAACATATCTCTAATTAAAAAAAAAAAAAAAAGTTTCCCACTTCCACATTCTCTATCACTCTCTTCCTCTCTCCTTCTATTTTAAAAACAAAAATAAAAAATTTTCTCACACACTTTGTGTGTGCCCATACAAGTAGTAATAATAATAAGAGGAGACGGATAGTGTCACTACTTTTTTATATAATTTTTGACATATTTTTATGTGAAGTTCACTTTATAACGTATTTTGATTATCAACAATAAAAAGAGACATGTATTGGAATATCGTTGATTTATAATATCATGCAACAATAGAAGGCGGATCTAGTATTTGTTTAAAGAAAATAGATAATATGCTTGGATTATCCACTTTTGTAGGTGAACCCTTTGAAAAGTCAAGTCCACTTGAGAAATTGGGTCGCATTTTAAACAGGAAAAAAAGGGGCACGAAGTGAATTTCAACCGCAATTTACCCGAAATTTCACTCGTATTTCATTTGGGAATTTGGCGCTTTATCAGTTTGGGTTGGTTGGGTTGGAGTTTTTGGATTTTTGTCCTCTCCTCTCTCTACAGTAACTACAACGTCAACTACTCCACCCCACTTTCTCTCTCTCTCTCTCTCTCTCTATCTCTCTCTCTCCTCTCCCTTTCTCTCTCTACTTTTTCTATAAGTACCAACCCCCCACACACGCGATTTCTTTGTTAGCTTGCTAGGCATTTTGGATAACGAGAGAGAAAGTCCGAGTCTTTGAGAGAGAGAGAGAGGTGAGGAGTAGGTGGTGGTGCTGCTGGGTTGCTGGGTTAGCGTTGAAGAACAGCGCAAGTGAGTCATTTTCTTCTTTGTTTTCTATTTTTTCTGGAATTTTTAGTTTTGTTTGAGATAATTGCTTGTGTATAATTATGTTTTATGATTGATTAATCGGGTAAAGCAAAAAGTAAATACATTTTTCTGTAAATTTTAGGGGCAGTAAATTAAATTGTGTAACTTTATATCCCACATTGATACATGCATCAGATCTGATGAAGAAAGTGAATTGTTGGCTTCATATGGAACATGATTAGTGTTTCTGTCATCTTGTACATAATACCATGTTTTTTTTTTCCTTAATTAACATAGTACCATGTTTTTTTCCTTAATTAAAACAAATGTTTTGAGTAGCTTGATTCGTAAACATTAAGAAATGCAAACAAGGTTTACGTGGGACCATGTTTGCTGGTGGAATCTGTTGAATTGACGTTCCGAAACTCATCAATTCGCAGTTGCAATGGAGGTGGATGGCAATTCTGTGGTGGCAGGACCAACGAATGTTGTTTATCTGTCGACAATTTTGGGCCGTGATGGGTCAAATCCTGTGCACAAATGTGACTGGAAATGTCAGAACGAGCACGTCTGCGCGAATATGTACCTCTGCAAGCTAACTGGAGCCACTCACATCTGTGACAAAAACTGTGATCAGAGGATCGTGTATGATAACCATAGCTCCCTTTGCCGGGCAAGCCGAAAGATTTTCCCCCTTACACAAGTAGAGGAACAGGCTGTGAGAGGGGTCCGGAGGAAGCTTGAGTCGGAGAACTCTTCTGCAGACAGTTGCTCTTCTAAGCGCAGACGGGATGCCCAGCTCCATCCTTCTCCCTTTGAGCGATCCTTCACTACTGCCAGTCTGATCTGCAGCAAAGTTGGAGATGGCATGGATATGAGCTAGACTTATAAGATAAATGAAAGACCCTTATTGCTTATCTTAATCTTGTTCCTTTTAAACTTTTCCCTATTTTCATTTCGTGGAACGGATATGGACGATGAACTTGATGAGTACTTTAAGTGGCGGACCTAATGTGTCCTACCCGTCTGTAGGGACAATCTATATTTGTAGTCCTGTTTACTGCAATTTAACTCCTCCATAAGCTCTTGACTTTAAAAGAATGTTATTTAGGGGTGATCAGGGTATGTTTAACTGCTTAAGAATCTTGGATTCAATTCTTATTCTTGCTAGCCTTACTGGTCAGGAACTTTGGCTCTATTTGCTGCAGGGTGCTTTCAGGTCGTTTGTACGACTTTTGTCATGATTTAGCTTTGACTTCTTTTATCATACTCCAATTAACCTTATCGCCAATTTCTTATTTGTTGTCATTTATGATGTTTATGTCGTCGAAAGGCAATTATTTGTATTAATTTGGATCTGTAATATTATTGGTTCTTGTTCGCTACGATTGCAGGCAGTATAGATTGTTGTTGGGTTACTTTTCCCTAGTTTAGTACAGGTTACTAAGGAATAATCCGGATTTCACTTGTTTTATATGTTTGCATCATCTACATTGTTTTTTGCTCTGGTTATTTGACCGAATGTATCTGAAATTGGCCAATTTTGCAGGACTTGAAGCGTGTGCTATCAAGGAGATATTAGATATGCTTGTTAATAATGAATAATGTTGTTTTTATTTAGAAATTTTCTGATATGGCTTCTTATGAATTTTGTTTTGTTTTCTCTGTAGGTAATTGTATAATTTCTTGGAGGACAAAGCTACACCTGGTGATGCTGGAGAGTTGACCTGGCCGTTCTAAATGCTTGTCTTTGGAATGACGTTGTAACTTACACGGGCAAAGCTACTTCGTGCAGAAATATGATAAAACTTCCAGAATATGGTAATTTATCAATCCCTTTGATTTGCCTTACTGGCGAAGTACTACACAGCACTGTCCGCTCAGCCATCAAAGCACCTGGTAGCCACATTCAACTACTTTTGAGTCACATTACATCCATCTTATCTTGTGCTGGTGGTTCGACATAAATTGTGTTAGAGTTGTCCGGTCCATGCCTATTTGGGTCGTCAATGTTTCCATGTAAGGCAAATCCCTCTGCACCAGCATGTCTGAAAGTTACTGTGCTAATAAGGTAGAAAGTGTATTGAAAGTTGTAACTAGGCAGAACTGTTGCCTCCAGCCTTTTGTTAGCCTTTCGCTGAACCATTTCTAGGCTACTTGTTATCTTTTAGGTTACTGTTAACTTCGAAGTCCTTTTATTCTAGACAAACAGAGGAAAGTCCTCTCGATGCTTGTAAATTTTCTAGTGATATCAAGATGTTTTTATTAATTTGGCATCATCAGTTTGTAAAAACATTGCAAGCTTGTAATCGACACAATTTATGAGCAAGGAATTACATGTTCATGTTCATTTTCATGGTCAGTGTTTCCGGCTTCTTGTTCTTTACTTTGGCTCGAGCTTATAGATCAGACACTGCCTGTGTACATGTAGAGAGATCGAATTCAATCCAAGTGTTGAAACAGATGTTGCTTGTTCTCGAAGACACCTTTGAAAGAATATCGTTTATTTTCCTCAGATGAAGATTATATGATTTGGAGTTGATTAATCCAAGTTTCTTTTTGGTAGAAAGAAAAGGAATCGCTTCTTGAAGAGGCCATCCAAGATAAAAGAAATCCTAAACCCGAAAAGGTCATCTTGCAGCTGAGATTGCACGTCTCCTTCCCTCACAGATTCTTCCAATCCTTCCATAAATCCCGTTCCACCTGAAAAGCCAAACACTAGACCAAAACCTATAAGCCTAGACAATGCCATTTACAGCGAGACTTCAAACTTTTCTTCGCTTCTTTTACATCCTCGTTCCTTTTTTCATCTCTTTATCGTACTCTGCCACATTCACTATAACAAACAATTGCCCGGAAACCATCTGGCCCGGTACATTAGCAGCTTCTGGCACCCCTCAGCTCCCAACAACGGGGTTTCGGTTGGACCCCGGCCAGAGTGTGAAACTTCCTTGTACTCCAGGATGGTCAGGGCGCATATGGGCTAGGACAGGTTGCACATTCGATGAGCTGGGAGCCGGCACGTGTCAAACCGGCGACTGCGGAGGCAGGCTGGAATGTGGTGGCAGTGGTGCCACTCCACCTGCCTCGCTATTTGAGATCACTCTTGGCAACGGCAATGGTTTAGATTTCTACGACGTCAGCATTGTAGACGGCTACAATCTGCCCCTCATTGCCGCCCCACGCGGCGTATTTGGTGCATGTAATGTCACCGGCTGCGTTTCAGATATCAACACAGGTAAATTAAGGTCTTGATCAAGTTTTAGTGTCATAATTTTTCGGGCACCAAATGGTTAAAATTTTGAAGGCGGAAATGCAACATGCATGCAGGTTGCCCGAAAGAGCTTCAGGTGGTAGGAGGAGGAAGCGAAGGGAGCGTGATCGGATGCAAGAGCGCTTGCGAGGCATTTGGTTTGGACCAGTACTGCTGCAGCGGACAGTTTGCTAACCCGACGACATGCCATCCTTCCAATTATTCCACCATTTTCAAAAGAGCTTGTCCAAGAGCTTACAGTTATGCTTTTGATGATGGCACAAGCACTTTTACATGCAAGGCTTTTGATTACGCCATTTTCTTCTGCCCCAACGGCGGGTACATTTTTTCTCCCCATCATCATCTTTCGCTTAAATTCAACAACTGCTTATTTTCTTTTCAACTCTCGGCTTTCACACGAAAAAACATCTGTGATGCAGGACTAGAAATTCAGATGATGCGTTAGCTCCTCCAAGATATGAAGTGCTTGGAAGTAGGAAGGTTGTGCAGATGGTTTATTCTTCTTCGAACAGGCTCTTACCAGTTCCGCTGCTAATCCTTCTTCTCATCGTCTACATATTATCTGGATCGTTTGAAAGCAACTGTGAAGCCGGGAGTGTTGAAGTAACATTGTAGACGAGAACCTCCCTTGTCTATGATCGAGTACATGGGATCGGAGGGCTTCATCAAACAGAGACTTTGACAACTTACTTTGAGTGTATTAGATCATTCATTCAGGAACACCAAATTGCATTGAAATGTAGTAGATCAGTCGTTGCAATACAATATTTGTATCTAATAATGAACAATGGATCCTACATGTAAAAATTTCAAAGGAATATAGGCCACCAATCGGCATTGTTATACAGCAATGGTCACTAAATACTCCATGAACCAACTTAAAACAATGACAGTAATACGATACATCGGCGTATTATCAATCCCTTCGAAATGGCATATTATCGGCCTAAATCAAACACAGCGGGCCGCCGTTTCATATTACTAAAACCTTGTTATTCTTGTGATTACGTCTGTTGAGCTGCTACATAATCTGATCCGCTAGGTATTCTACATCACCAATCCACTCCTGTCAACTATGAGAACTAATATTCCGATTTTCCAGCAGAATAAATGATAAACAAAATTGTGTCCCTCATTTCTTGCCCTTGGCCTTCTTGGAAACTTGAGGTTTCTTTTTTGGTTTCTTTGCTGGTTGTGGCTTCCCTCCGGCAGGTTTAGCTCTCTTCCTTACAACAGTCTGTCGACAGAAAACTTCATATCATCAAAAAATTCACTGCATTACCCAAACCAATTAGAAAAATTATGGTTCTTAAACATACCGATGCTTTCTTAGCCTTCGCCATGGTTGCCCCCTTAGTTTGTTCTTCAGCATCCTCGTTTTGATCAGCTTGTTGAAGAGTGGCTTTAGGAAGTTTGTCACCCTCATCTTCTGAATCAAACGAGAATCCATCTAGGGTTCCTACTCATTCAAAATAATGAGATGTTGAGGAAATTACTGTTTCAGAATTTTTAAAGAGAAATTGGAAGTAAAGAAACAGCCACCACAACGAAAACCAACCTTCAACCATTGTTTCAGCTTCATCAACATTTGATTGTGGTTTCAGCTGAATGAAGTCATTCATGATAGCTTCAATCTGCTCAAGGAATATACAATTCAGAGTTAAACGATTCCTTTTTCATTGAGTTATCCAGTTTATGCTAACCTAACTAAACGGTTAACTAACCTTTGCCTCCGACTGACCAAAGCTAACCTGAACAAAAAAAAAAAATGTGTCATATCACATCACTGTTATAGTGCATCTGATTTCGTTAATCGGAAAGATAATTGATTTCTGCAAGGGACTACGTAGAGACAATAACTTACAACACAAAATGTCCTGGAAGGAACTATTGTTGTTTTGTATATGGTTCCTGTAACGTTAAACCGTTAAACCAAAGATAAACTAATCAGATGTAGGCAGCTAATGAAGAAACATGCAGCACAATAAGTTGCACTGACAAGGCTGAACAACCACCAATTTGTTTATCTATATAAACAAGACACACCTTTCAAATCAAGGTACATTTCAGGATCTGCAGCTTTGGAATCTGAAATAATTACCCGTCCTACAGCACCCATATCACCACTCAAATCTATGGATTCTCCTTCACACTCAACAAGTGCCTACAAAAAAAAAAAAAAGCATTTCTTTTACAAGGGAAAGTAATTGGGGAGGTAAAACACCAAGCTATAGAACAATATCTCGTCAACATTAGTTCCTACTTTCAATAAGAGCGCTATCTTGCTGACTATAGGTACAACCTATAACCAAGTGAGAAGAACAATGTCCTAATGTACCTTTGAGCGTTGGACTTTTTCAGAGAGCACCAAGGGCAACCTTGAGGTGGAGACCTGCAAATTACATATAACCGAAGCAACTCACTAGCTATAAAAAGAGTCTATAGGAAATCATTGTTGCTTATATACTCTTACATGAGGCTCAATGTGCTTGCCAGATGCTTCTTCCTCTGCAACTTCTGCATCTGCAACTTCCACATCATCACTGTTTCCTGAACCAAAATTTCTCTCTTAAAAGTCTATAAACCTCATGATCAGGGCGCTAAAACTTTCAACCAAACCCTCCGCATTACCTTCTCTTTCCTTGGATATCTCAAGTTTCTTCTTTTTCAGGGGTTTCTGATCTTCTACTTTTTTCCTTTGTTTTGGAGAGTTTCGTTTTAACTTCTTATCGGATGGAGACTCTGCAGCACTTTCCCCAAGAACTTTACCCGAATTCTCATCTTCATCAGAAAGTTTAGAAGATTTGTGTGGAGACAATTCTGCGGAATCAGTTTTATCCTCCCCCGAAGGAACGCCATTCAGTGAAGCCTCGGAATCTGAGGATAATTCCACCGATGAAAGAGTTTCCGGTACCTGAAAACAAAGAAACCTTGCACTTAACACCCCAAAAACAAAAAACAAAAAGAAAAGAAATTTACGAAATATACAGAAGTAGAGAGAGATATAAAAATCCAATCAAATCCCTAATCCGGTAAATCTGCTAAGCAACTTTAACCAGTAACATGAACAAGATCTACCCATCAGGGCATGAAAGCTTCAACTTTTAACCCTAAAGAGGATGAATGAAAATGAGTCTTCACCTGGAAAGACCGCAGCCAATCTGGCGACTCCTCCCTCGACGTGCTCATTCCGGCTCCTCGAAAGCACTAAACTTTGATTCCTCCTCCTCCTCCTCCTCCTCTCCACCTTCTTGCATGAAATTTGTTAAAGCATTTCATCAAACGATTACCATACAGGAAAAAAGACAATGTAATACAAAATTAACATATAAGATGAGCTGATTCGGTAGATATTGCAGGGAGAGAATCCGTATGCATAAATGTGAAGCTAAAGAATCAGCAGCAGCCATGCTCACAAGGTGTTTGTGAAAATGCCAACACCACAAACCAGAAACTCGGCATAAAACTGATATCGAACTACATTTGTGAAGCAAATAATACAAGTATCTGGAAGTGAAAGAGAAGGTACCACGATGAGACGCCGGCGGCGTAAGAGTGGATCAGACGGCTGCTGCCACCGGAGCGTGATTCGATTTGCGCCAAAAGTATGTAATTCAACCACCGCCGCCCCGCGAAAGAGAGGGTAAAAAAAAAAAACGCGGGACTTGCAAAAGTAAATCAATGTTGTTCGTTGCGTTGAAATTGGGCTGTACGGTATAAGGCCTAGTTTTTGGGCCTTGAGCCTTTTTTTTTTCCTTTCAGATATGCCTCTTCTGACCTTCAAATTTGCTTTTGTTAATTTTCATCGCGTATAATGCATATTATTATTACCTTTCGAGGATCCACCTCACTTATTTAGAATCTCTTCATCTGAAATTGGATATAATTTTCATTGAGGTCATCGATAGTCTCTTTAAAAGAAAAATGCACATTACCAAATTGGAGTGTGTTATCCACACACCTCATTTTACTTCTTCAATTCATCCGATCCGACAATCGAAAATTAAAAAGATGTGTGAGAAGTAAAATGGGATGTGTGAAAATCATATCCCTGTGAGACAACATCACATAAGCCTTCTCCGAATGTAAAGAACCATCAGATGCAAAATTGAAAGATGGATGGCAAAGCTTATGTGTAGGTGTATAGATATATAAGCTCTGAAAGCATATTCAAAACAGAAGCAACTTCTTCATTAGTTCTATATTTACAGTCCTATTGCTATAACCTAAGTTAACAAAATAGCATAAACAATCCGATCAACGAGAATGCAGATGACAACAAATGCATTTTCAGAGAATGCAGGAGATAAGCCTCCATAGCCTCCCCTATAAATTCGCATGTGGATTATATCATTGAAACCCAGTTAACAAAATAGCATAAACATTCCAATTAACAAGAAAATATGCCGATTAAGTCACGTAACTTTATGATCATCAAGAAATAAAGTATGGAAATTGAGAGGAATTGAGAGAGCAGCACAAACAACCATGGATAGACATCTTGATTACATGCATTGAATAAAATGCAACTGGAATAAAGTAATGTTATAGTTGTATTGCTATATGTTATATATACTTTGTGATAATGGTAGTGATATATTAAATTTAATGGGCCTTGTCCAAGGGCAAGAAACAACCATAAACAGAAGAAACAATATAAACAAAAACCTGAAGCCTAAGAATAAAACCCCATCACAAGAAAATTATGGACTAGAACTATGCTGTAGATTTGACATATAAGATATAAAATCCGACTAACATTATGATAACAAACACTACAGATGCCGCCGCACGCGTAGTATTCCAGCAACTCTCGTAACTAGCTTCAGCCGCGAGGAGTAGAGCCTTTAAGTTTCTGTAAGTAATGGGCTTGTGGCGAGACTGAGCAGAACGGATCACTGCATTCTTGTAGTGACTGCCGACATTTTTCATGATCACATGAACTATTTCGGTCTCAGGAACAGGAGAACCAGCTAACGCTAGTTCGTGGGCAATGGCATTGACGCGAGAAAGAAATTCAGCAATCGACCCGTCCACATTAGTAGTACGACGAAGATCTCTGTGGAGCTGCGATACATGTGTCTGACTGGCTGAGGCAAACAGTTCTTCCAAAATTAGCCAAGTTTTGCGAGCTGTACGGTCCTGCTGAGCGATGCAGCCAAGCACATAAGCGCTTAAGGAGCTATCGATCAAGGAAAGAGCAAGCTGGTCCTTTTGGACCCAATCTTCAAAACCGGGGTTGACAGTGTCGTCGGTTTTGATTCTATCATCGTCGTCGGAGAGAAACTGAGGTGGACATGGAGAAGAACCATCGACAAAAGACATGAGTTTGTGACTCTTAAGCACGGGAACAATTTGGGCCAGCCAAACAGGGTAATTGTTGCAGTCGAGTTTGACGATGATAACGTGAGAGACGTTTGGAAGATCACAAGCAGTGGTAGAAGAGGAGATAACCATTGGAAAATTGAGTACAAAACAGGAGAGCAAAGTTTGAATATCAACTGAATGAAACTTGTAGAAATATGAGTCCTTGTATTAATGTTTAGAAAATATTGCTATATATAGGGTTATACTAATCCCTATTTAGGTCGGAATCTTAAACTAATTATTAAAAATTACATTCCTATATTACATGCTAGATTTAGATATGAAGAAGATTCTGAATTAATTAAGGAAAGTCTAATAGGGAGTCGTGTATCTCGTATAAATACTGCTAATGTGTTTTGGAGAGAAACAATTTTTGACGACAAATTTGTTAAAACGGAAAGAATTCATTCATACTAGTATTTGCCTACACACTTTGTGTGTATGAACACATTTTTTTGTAGAAAAATGAGAGAGAGAGGGAGAGAGAACGTGGGGAGGGAGTGGGAGATTTTTGTTTTTTGGTTTTTTTAAATTTTAAATATTAAAGATATTTTAACATAATTTGAACCTGTGAAATAAAAAACCAAAATAAATGTAAAATTTGAAGTAATTTTTATTTTAACAAATAATATTATCCAAAAATCTAATAACCTACCGCAACTAACGAGAGTTTACACAAGTGTTTTGAGCGGTGGAAGTTATCAATTGGGGGGTTTACTTGGGCCAGGTCTATAAGCCACAGCGCTTAGGGCAGGGTTTTAGGGAAAGATAGAAGAGTGAGCAAAACAAAGGAACCTCGTTATCCATCCATAGAGAGAGAGTGTATGCTCCAATACCATTTACAGAACCAGAACAAGAAGAAAAAGCAGAAATCGATTGTGGGGAGTCAAATCTTGCATGGAACAAGGTAAACAGGGAGTTATGGTAGCGAAAATGGTGCCTCCTCAGAACCCAATAGAGCAATTGCAGGCTCGCTTCAAGGAGCTGGAGGCTGGCTTCAGGGGCTGGCTGGCCAAGCAGTCTCTGCCCGTCGAGGCCGCCGTCGTCACCCTCACCAGCGGCGCTCAGGGTGCCGCCATCGGTGCCTTCATGGGTACTCTCACCAACGACGTGTCTTCCTCTCTTCCCACTCCTCCTCCTCAGGCCAGGCCTCAACCCCCAAGCCATGGCCTCTTTCAAGCAAGCTCAGGTCTCTCTCTCTCTCTCAAATTTCACTCTATTTTCGCTTAAACTACGAATTGCTCTTTGTTTGGATTGGATTTCTATTGGGAACTGCGCGAAGAATTTGGAGAAAGATTGAAACTTTTGCGCACCCCATTTGGCATTTTGATTTGATGATTAATCCCAATATTTTGTTTCTTGTTTGTAGTAATTTTCAGTAATTAGACACAGAGAAAGTTAATTTCTTGGGGAAAAGTTATTGCTTTGTTCTGTGAGTTTGCTTACTGTGATTGCTGTCGGTGCCGGAAAATTCTATATCTTTTGCTTCCTTGTGGAGACTACCTATCTAAAATTTGATTCATTTCACTTTACATGCGTTAGTACTTTAATTATTCGGCTTTTCACATATAACCCTTTAAAATATTACACTTCAAACCCAACCTTGCTTACGTTGCAGTGGGAGGACACCGAAGGAGTTTCACAACTAAGAATCAACTGAAGTATTTGTTCTATGAAACTTATAGTTGTCAGGGTGTTTTTCTAATTTACTGTTAATTGGTAGTTCTGTTAAACATTTGTAGACGTTGAAACTTGTTCTTGTAGGTGTGTATGTTAGTATGAACTCCAAACATTCTTCAAGGTTCTCGATGATAACAGATAAATTTTGAAACATGGCTACTGTTTGAATTAGTTTGAACATTCGCTCTTACTTGGTGGAGCAGTTCCGCTGATATACGCAAATTGTTTGCTTTGATTATAGGCCCTTGCTGGTGGTCCGTTGGTCCAAGCTCGCAACTTTGCTGTTATGACTGGTGTCAATGCCGGCATATCCTGTGTCATGAAAAGAGTGAGAGGCAAGGAGGATGTCCAGTCTAGGTAAGCGTATTCATTTGTCCACACTGTTTGGTGTTTATTAATTTGCAGTCACACTCAATTGAGATTATGATTGCTTTAATGAAGAATTATAGGCAGTGGTTAACAACATTGAAGTCGTTGTGGATACCTGGTCTCATATGGCCATATTTATTCTGTTTTGTGACTTAGCCAAAATTATATGAATTGTGAAATAATATTAGGGTAACCTTTCTTTTAAAATTTATCTTAATTCCTGTCTACGTGGATGCTGCCCTGCTGATTTTTAGGCTCTATTTAGGTCATGTGGAGTAAGGAACAGACTTTAATGGATTGGTTCCTTTGGTTCATTTGGTAAAATTGAAACTTACTGTGAGGGTGAGATGCGAATTCTGGGTTCTTTGCCCCTGTATAAGCCAAGGGTGTGCCACCACTGCCTAGATTTTCAGCAAGTCCCAAGGAGATCTCCTGTCGATTTATTTCTTCCGCCCCACCACTCCTTTTTCTTATGAAAAAGTGTTTCTTTATCTAGAAATAGATCATCTATCAAATTGTTCTTCATTTATATAACTACTTCAATGTGCCACTATTATAGATTTCATGTATTTCTGGTCCAAGTGGCCTTCGTTTCTTTGTTTTGTGAAAACCGTATTTTTGTTTCTATGTACTGCAGCATGGTGGCTGCTTTTGGTTCAGGAGCCCTGTTTTCACTTGTGAGCGGCATGGCTGGCCCCAATCAAGCAGCAAATGCAGTTACTTCTGGACTCTTCTTTGCACTTGTTCAAGGTGGACTTTTCAAGGTGAGACTCCCACAAGATATGATTTATCAGTTTGGTAATAGCTGGAAAGTGAAGTGTTTTCATTTTCTAGTCCTTAGCTACATGATTGCATTGCGATTTTGGGAGACATTAGTAAAACAAACATGTCATTTGAAACACAATGAAGCAGCTGAAAATCTGGAACTCAATTTTTTTTTTTCTTTTTTGAAAATACCAAATGTAAATGAAGGTCTATGCGGTTGCATGCTATTCCAATTTCATAGTTCTAATACTCTGCGACCTGTACGAGTTAGTACTGCTTGCATGCATGTTTGTTTGTATCGGGGTCTCGTTCTTATATGCACTGAACACACTTTTCACATGGTTATGCAGTTGGGGCAAAAATTTTCTCAACCACCAACTGAAGATATCTACTACGCTAAAACAAGAAGCATGTTGAACAACCTTGGCCTCCAGAGTTACGAGAAGAATTTCAAGAAAGGCCTATTATCCGACAACACTTTGCCTCTGCTCAACGATAGGCAAGTAGCAGGACCTTCAAATTCTTTATCATTCCTTACTATCATAATAGTTACTTTGTATGTCCGTATTTATAAACCACTTCAATTAACGCCCTTTTGTTTGTCCTGCCATTTCATTTCAGTGCTCTTAGAGACGTGAAAATCCCTCCCGGACCCAGGCTTCTCATTCTTGATCACATTCAGAGGTACGATTCATGCTCCGTAAATACTTATAACGCAGCCTCAAACTTGTGAGTTGGTTTGGATTATGACTAAATCTTTGGTTTCAGGGACCCGGAGATAAAAGAGAGGCGAGGATAGATGGTTGAAGTGCGTATTTGTCGATTTAGTCTGCATCGCCATCCTAAAGGAGAGCCCTTCTATCTCCAGATCTAAACCTTGGACTGAGAAGTGAGATATGTTTTCAGTTGAGATAATGTGATTTTGTTGTCGACTGTCCTTAAATATTCAACTGCTACAATTTGCTTAGATTAAATTAAATGATTGCATAATTTTTCTACTTACAGACCATATACAAACACCAAGATATAATGGTTAAAACATCGAGAGTATCCCATACTCCGGGGTATCTTAAAAAATCCCGAGTTCCAAAAGGCAAGTTGATCAATCCAAAATTTTACAATGCGTCTTCCACTGGTTTAGTGGATGATTGGATTTGCGTATATTGAATTAAACATTTCGATGGAGTCGTTCATGAAGTGAGCGTATCTTATTGGTTACAGGAACATGTGAAGTAAAATACAACATTACACATGGCGCTGGAGATGACAGATGTGGTCTCACATGGACACCATTGTCTTCTTTGTGATCTTTTCTTGCGGGGGTAATTGATTGCACTGTACGTGTAGATTCGCATTGCCGTTGTCCCGTCCTTTTCTGAATCGGATAGAGTTGGAAACTGAACGCACATGAAGTAAGAAGCGGAATGCGGAGAAATGCGTAGCAATTATGTTACACAAACACGTATGACTTATGAACAGAGTCTGAATTGCAAGATGTCATACGATCACGTATGACAGACGAACATAGTGTTCATGTATTGTATCAAAACGTTATTCGTGCAACGGTTCATATAACATGAGAGAAACTTACTTACAATCGGAACGTTATTGTCATTGTAATGGTATTTTAACCCAACCATTGTTTGCTATAACCGTATTCTATTCCAATAGAGTATTGTTTTATATTGTACTTATTTCATATGACAGTGTTTAATTAAATTAAGATATCGTCACAATAACGTCTCAATTACATAAAAATAGAAATATGAAGAGCAATTTATATGAAATAGGTTCACCGCTACTATAGCGTCTCGATTTAATAGTACATTGTCATGTGAAAAAAAATTTGCACGTAACAATATATTATTGAACCGTAACATTATTTGATTATGAATCTATCTTATGCAAGTAATAAGAAAAAGAGAGGATTAGGCAAGCACGTAAATTGGAATAGTGTGTGGACCCATGTGGCACCATCGATGGCTTTCCTCCAGCTTCGTTTCCACCGTTCAGTTTTAGCACTTACGGTCATGGTGGACCCTTTTTCACTTACCATTTTGCTCTCCTTTGCTCTAATTAATTCAATTACTGATCATAATCAGTTAATTACCCTACAAAATTAATTATTCTCTTCTGTTCACAATCTTCAAAGTGACGTATTCTTTTAATGTGTTCCAAAAACAGACTGGTATGTCATATTATTATTAAAGTGGGGGAAACGTTTTTTTTTTCTTAAAATTTCATCCACTTGTATATTAATGTATGATGTCTGTACCCGTATTCTGAACACACTAAAAAATCTCAGTCACAAACTATGGTGGCCTCCTCAGTGAAAAATTCACTAAATTCAGTGTAAGTTAATGAAGATATCCCATTTCAGCTTAAACAAAATAGACATCAATTTTTCATTCAACATGCATTAAACCTGCCGAGTTATCCAATCCAATATGATATAATCGACACCGAATGAGCATTTTAAGACTATCAACCGGACGGAGAAATTGCTAACACCAAGAACAAGAATTGCAAAACAATATTGATCTCTTCTTCCCTATATATTTGTTTTCCTTGAAGGGGAAGAAAATGAATCAAATGATTCAAATCGTCAAACAACTTAATAATACACAACACGTACACGCCCAAATTACAACGAAAAACTCATCCATTTTTTCATGATAAGACTTAGCTACAGAAGTACATTATTGGTTTGAGATATTAACACCTCAACGGGTCAGATTTCTCTATACTACTCTAATTACAGAAAATGATCATCTCTAGATCTCTTCCTCCTAATTTACCAAATTCGGAAATTTAAGTCATTGAAATTTGATCCAATGACTACAAATAGAGTCTACTTTAAAAGTTATAATAACTTTAGCAGTTGATCAAATTTCAACGGCCGGATGCCCAAACTTGGTGGTTGAGGAAAGGATCCGCCTCTAATTACAACCAACAACACGACCAAGAACAGTTACAGAAGAGGAAGCGGTTAGTAACTCAAGTTTTAACCAGGCTGTCAGTGGAAGCGAGTCCCGGTGGCAGGGCAACGGCAGAAGCCTGGAGGAGGCGCTGGGCCTGCGAGAGCTTGTCCACGAGGGCCAGAATCCGGGCATGATCCATCCGCGCCTGATCGACTGCCTCGGCTTCGAGCTCACCAAGCTGCGAGCAGAGGCGCTCCTCCGCCTCCTCGGCGACTCGGAGCCTTTCGCGGGCCCTCTGGAGCTCCGCCTTCATCCGCTCCTCCCTCTCCTGGCTCTTCCTCAACTCCCTCTCCAATTCCGCGTTCCTCTGCCTCAGCAGCTTCTCTTCTTCCGCCGCCGGCAGTTGCTTCGTTACCGCCATTTTTGTTCGACTAGAAGAAGCTCACAGCTCTCAGATAACGGAAAATACAAAGTGTTTTGTGAGTTGCGGTGCGCAGAGTACGTTTATATAGGCCAACAAAAGGTGTCCAGGTTCAATGTAAATGCTTTGGTTTCGAATTTGTGACTCTGCTTACGCATTTGCATCTGTCATCCTAACTCTTTGTAGTGTCAAAATTCTATTTTATTTGAGGAACGTTCGTTTGCCATTACTAACTTTTATTAGATCGAACTGGACTTAAAAGTTAGTGTAATTCCATGTCTATTACGTGCATGGACTAACTTTAATGGAATGATACTTGGAGGGACCCACTTGGACTAAAGACGTCGTTAAACGGTAATCTGACGGTAGTGTAACGTTAACTAGCCGTTATTAGTTGGCGTCATGCTAACGCCTAGTAGCCGTTAGCATTCAAATGGGCTGAGCTGGAGGGCTGGCAAAATGTCAAGCTTGACATTTTGGCGCTTGGGGGGGGGGGGGGGGGGCTAGAGGGTTGGCTGGCTTGCTAGAAATGGCTAGCTTGCTGGCATGAGGGTTTGGGTCTGGTGGGGTCCACAAGCCCTTTGGTCTAATTCTTTGTTAGAGATGGTTTTTGTGTCCTTCTTAACTATTTTTAACGTTATAGCCCTTTGACTGTGTAGGTTGGAGATGACCTTAGAAGCGAGTCGTCGAGCACGTTCAAGTCTTGGCCCAAAAATCGATGACCACCATATGAACTCATAATGTATTCTAATGTTTTTAACTGTCAAATCTTGATTATTAATTTTTAATTAAAAATTTTATGATTAAAAACTTTGAATTATAAGATACCCGAAGCATAATATAATTCGTATGTGGTTATCTCCGATTAACTAATCATCTCCTCACTAGATACTTAGTAACGTTTTTTGTTACCAAATTATATGTAAATACAAACAAATAACGAAGAAGCTTGATTTGGTTAACGTCAATATAGCTGACCAAATTTTTCACTGTTATCTCACATTATTAATATTGACGTTTGTAGGTGTTTTTAAAATAATTGAAAACGTTTTAGATAAGAGTGTTTTTGGAACAAATTTTTAGTAAAAATGCAAGTAAATCATTAACACTTTTAGAACACAAAAACATTTTCATTAAAAACGCTTTCAATTATTTTAATAACACTTTTAAATAAATAGTATTAGTTTTATCCGTCTATGTGAAAAATGGATTTTAATTTTTTTTTAAAGGAGCACCGTGGCCTTTCGTGGTTGCATAAGACACTTGATTGACAAACTATTGGGCGGGCCGTCCTTATCTTCATAAAGTTGGGTTACGCAATGAGCATGCGGTGACACGATGAAAATTCCGAGTGAATGAATAAATGTTAATAATTTTTTGATAAATACTAGATATGTAGTGTTTCAAATTTTTGTGTAAAGAAATAGAGTTATTTAATTTGTTCTATCTATTTGTCGAGTATTATTGATGTAACTTATCGAGTATTGTCAAACATTTTTTTTTTTTTTTGAAGGAAGTGATAGCAGCTGTATTTCAATAATAAGGCATTACAATGAATCAAAGGAAAATTAGGGAAATGAACAATCCTCAACCAGTATCCACAATAATACTAGGAGGAGATCCTAACCACTCACGAAATTGATCCACAGATAAACCAATACGAGCTAGCCTATGAGCAACCCCGTTAGCTTGCCGCCGTTGCCGGCGAGTGTGGGTAAAAGAAACTTCAGTGACTATAGAAACAATGGCCTTGATGTCATCTATCACTTGTCCGATGGAAGACAGATTGACAAAAGAATCACATACAACCTCCACAATTTGAAGCGAGTCACTCTCACATAATAAGTTTGTAAATCCCCTTTCAAATGCCCAAATCAAGTCAACCTGTACCGCCACAACCTCCGCTTGGAGGGGTGAGAAAATATCAGAAAACTTCCCACATTTAGCAGCCAAAAAACCTCCTGATTCATTACGAACAATCAAACATTTAGTAGGCATGAAATGACATGTACCAAAGATACAGGTGGTCGTAGGACCACTTGGTTCCAATGTCCATTTGCCCTTATAAGCATTGTGCTTCATGAGCTTATTAAGTTGAATAAAGGTATATGCCATCTTCTGTCCATAATTTAGACAAAAAAGAAAGTTTCAGATCAAATTACTTTGAAAATGTGAAAAAATGTAATCTAAAACATTAGATCTCCAATTTTTACCGACGACTTATTCCATGTTTACTTTTATTTATGTGGATGTAATATGAATATAAATGGTAAACAAATGAGTGCATCTTTCTAAATGCTGATTATTTTTCGTTATATTATCTTAACAGATAGTGCTATTTATAGTATCACACGCTTATTTTTACCTCCTTGTATTGTTGTTAATTTTTTTTCATTAATCTTGTTCAATTTATTTGATATAATGATAAAAAATTCAGAATTGTGCGTGAGAAATAAAAAAAGTTGTGTGAATAGTACTATTCCATCTCAACTCGGGTCCGTGGAAGGTTTGTGGCCATTCCTACCATTGTTGTCCTTTTAATTGTGACATAAGTGCTATTTCGAATTGGACCAACATCCAGTGCCAACTTTTGCTTGTCAAATCATTTTTTAAATTAATTACTTTAAAAATTACGAAAATAACGATTGACCTCGAGTGCTTAGTTGCTAAGTATATTATTTTGGCCAACCCATCTAATCACACTAGCGGCTTAAAGAAAGACCAAATTTATGAGCAATTAAACTAGAACCACACTCATAGAGCTAACATAAAATTGGTGAGAAGACCCACTTTATGAAAGAAAATTTTCAATGTCACAGAAACACAGTCAGTTTTCAAGACATAAAATTTTATAATAAAAGTGGTTGGATACTTAAAAAAAAACAAATTTAATTACTTGTATTATGACATTTTGTGTATTAAACTGTATTTATGACAATTAATAGAATTAGTTGGTACCAGTGAAAGATAAAATTAAAGTGAATATTTGGCACCCTGACGATTAATCATTCTAATCTTCCCTTTTCTATGTATGATTTTATGGATTATGACATACCCTCCACCCAACAAACACAAATTGCCGTCATGTGTTATTGTCAACTCTTGCTTTTTAAAGCTCGATGGCACCCGTGTAATAATTAAAACTAGAAGTTCGTTTAAAAGTGCTTGTAAAATGATTGAAAGTGTTTTTAGTGAAAATATTTTTGGAACTAATTCTTAGTAAAAATGTAAGTAAATCTTAAAAAAACACTTAAAATGCTTTTTGAAAGAAGCACACTAATGTTTCTTACAGAAAACACTTCAAGTATTTTTGGAACCCAAAAACATTTTCTCTAAATTCAATTTCAGTTATTTTAAAAGTACTTCCAGACGAGTCTTAAAACTAAAAGACCACAAATTATTTTAAGTTGTTCAAAGCATTTTCCTTTTCATATATTTCAAATACAAAGAGTAAATATAAAATAATTATCGCTCTAAAAATGTTAATTTTAAAATGGTTAATGGACGTTGGGCCGAAAAGACAATACGAGATTAGACTCCCGTGCAGTTTATGAATTTGATGGATTGGGCTTACGAGTTACGACTCTCCAAAGGCCCAATATGGTCAATATTGCCCACTACTTGTCCATTGGCATCTTCGACGGGGTGCCATGAATTATATTATTTTTTTGTCCTCATCTTGAGCGTAAGAATTGAAGGCTTTTTTACCTCAATGATCATTAACATTAATATAATTCTTAACTTTGATTCTTGAGATTTGAAGTCGATAAACGTATTTTCTGAGTTTGTTCACCGTTAATTATTTTGGTTTTTAATGAAAAATCTTTGTTAAATAAGAATAAAATGAAAAAACTACCCTCAATTTTTGTCAAATCATTTTGGTTAATTGGTTAATAAATTGAGGATATTTTTATCATTTAATCTTTATTTAATAGAGATTTTTCATGAATGATTGACGGTGGATAAACTCAGGTACCACTTTTATCGATTTTAAATTTTAAAAATCAAAGTAAGAGATTATACCAATTTCAATGATCATTTTAATTAAAAAAAATCTTAATTTTAAAGTAATAAATCGACCATCATCTTTCAAGTTGGATTTGGATCCTCTCCTGAGCTAATGTACAGGATTCTCCTGACCAATCATCGTGGACTGTTTGATTTTTATCCAACGGCTACAATCATTATAACTTTAAAGGAACCTCCCATTTGTAACCGTTGGATAAAAATTCAACGGTTCACGATGATTAATCGAGAGAATCCTCTCCGATAGCGCAGGAGAGGATCCAAATCCTTTCAAGTTTATCCCCCCCTTGTCCGCCGCCGCCTCCAGTAGCCAGACCACTTGCAATGACATAACCCAAAGCAAATGATTGAGCCATTTTTTTATTCAACAAAATTTGAAATGTTCACTTAAAATTCAAAACAATCAATCAAATTGAGCAACAAGAAGAAGAAGGGGAATACGTGGGCTCTCTCTCTCTCTCTCTCTCTCTCTTGCATTGCAGAAGAAAACTCCAAATTTACCATCGCTCTTCCCTTTCAGTAAGTTTCCTGTTTCCGCATCATTTATTTTTCTGACTTCGTTTTCAATATCATCTGGGAAGATTAGATATCCCGTTTTTAACGTAATCTGATTATTTATAGTTTGATTAAGATTGTTAATTTATTACGAATTTCGTGATCTTCTTGTTGAATCATCGGAGGACCCATTTACCCGATATGCTTGATCCGTTACTTTCAGATGCTTAATGGGTCATTGAATGCTTTGCATATTGAATTTTGGATGTGGGTTTTATATGGGTCATCTGATTTTGCTCCATTTTTGTTTCTTGCATTATCATCTTGGTCAATTGTTGATTTAATTTTGTTCTGGCACTTCTGAAGTACTAACCTTTGGTTGAAAAAGGTTTTTTGAAGTGGGTGTTTAATTTTCACTGCTTTCGTCTGTTCGTTTAATCCGATAATTGCATTGGTGCACATCAAATAGTTCTATAGTTTAATGCAGGATCGAGACTTTATCCGAATTCATGTTGTTGTTTTTGAGTGATTTGGGCAAGGAGT